CGGACGCCCTTCGGCTACGCGCACCCGCTGGGCCCGGCGCTGGCGGTCTCGCTGCACTCCGCCAAGCCCGGCAGCGGCGCGGCGCTGGCCCGCTCGCCCTTCTCCATCGAGAGCATCATCGGGGGAAGCCCCGGCCCCGGAGCGGGCAGCAGCTGCGCCTCGCAGTCGACCGCAGCACCGGGGCTGGCCCGCTCGCTGGGGAGCGCCGGGAGCGGTCTGCCCCCCGCCGCCACCCTGCCTGCCACCCCCGGCTTCGCGGCACGGATCTCTAACTGTTAAGTGTTTGGGAGTCTTTCCGAAGGTAGGATCTGGGGTATCTCCTTTCTCCGCCGCTCGGACGCTGCCCGCAGGGGCTGCCTGTCTTTGCGTGGGGATAATTGTGACGGGGCTCGGGGGCCGTACGCCGCGAGCGACGGACCTCCCGTGACCTTCACTAGTGCAAAGCCAGGTGTAGATTTAGATATTGCACGAGCAGGCGGTCACTACATCGGAAAGTTACTCGCTACTCCTTAAAAAGAAACAAACATGGTGATAAATAATGTCTCTAAACCGTTAAAGTTCAGAGATTCTCAGGTCTAGGAGCTTGAAAACAGTAATGTACAGGAGAAAAAAAAGGCTGGAGGGAGGACAGCAGAGCAATACTTTTTCATTTAGTACACTTGTCTCATGTACTTTTATAAAAGAAGAGATTAACGTGTTTACACAGAAGAAAGTCAAGATTATCATTTCTTATTTTAACCTGTGTTTTGTATTATAATAGACTTACGGAGTTTTTTATTTTGTACTTTATGCGTATTCTTTACAAGGAATATTGTTAAAATTACTGGCAAGTATTATTGTACCATTTTAATGTAAAATTTTTACACATTTTCAAAAATAAAATTTTTAATTTTCAAAAAAAAAAAAAAAAAACAAAAACAACAAAAAAATCAAAACCAAACCCAAAGACCAAAGGAGCTCAGCCAAACAATTGGCTTTGGATCCTTCCCTCCTTAGCACTTCTCCTTTCTTTGGGACACTGATATTTTTTTTCTTTGGGATTAATAGCAGAATAGTCAAGAAACATTCTAGGTGGAAAATTATTATGCGCAGATTTGACCGCAAAGAAGAAAATAAAAATACGATCTTTGCAGTCAATGCATTGTTAACCCTAACAGATAAAGAAAGACAAAAAAAAAAAACCCAAACATGCCAAACAATCAAAAAACAAACCTCCCCCCCTCCCCCCAGAACACCAAGAAAAAAAACCACCAACAAAACAAAACAAAAACACTCTTCAAAAAACAGCAGGAACGAAAGAGGGGATAAATAGAAATAGGTCTCTCTGGAGGGAGTAAAGCCCAGTTCTGTAAGGCACCAATCAGGGGATTGATTAAAAAGCCGGTTTAAAACTATTTTTATACTTTTGGGTGTGTTTTAAATCACAACTGCATCAATTTGGTTTCCAAGAGGCCCAAAGGAAAATTCTACTAATAAAGGGCATGCATTGAACTTAAGAGAGATTTGTTCTAGACACTTATGGTTCTTTGACGATAATAGTGGCATGTGTTTCTACTTTTCAATACATAAAATATAAAATGCGCTTTGTAATATCCTCGTGTGACGAGTTGATGAAGTGTATAAGCTGTCGAAGTAAGGATATTTAAGTGTAGAAAACAAACCATGAGTGCCGCTTTTCTGATTCCAAACGTCGGTTTTAACAACACAAGGTCGATTGATATCTATTTGATAGACTTAAAAAAATTTTAACCAAAAATCCGGCCTCAAATATTCAGAGCTTAGACATGGAAAAGAGAATCGCACGTTCTAAGAGTAGGCATGTGAATGCTTGCTGTGCTAAGAACACACGTTTTTCAAACCAGGGAGGCTTTTCGACTACGACTGTATTTATAACAATTTAGGAGACTCGGGGATCAATTATGTACATTTTCATAATAAAAAGAAATTTTAAAAGGGAGGGATGTTTTTTAGTGCTCTTTGGAGTGAGGAGGGGTTTTACATTTGGAAGTACTTCGTCACCTTAGTTTTAAATATTCTCGTAGATAGAAAAGTGGTGCTTCTCCGTTTTGTTTGTAGCAATGCTGTGTTAAAATAGTGTATTTCAAAAGCAGAAAGACTGGACATAAGGTCTCTGCTAGTCTTCATTTGCAGTCTGGAGCTGGGAGGCCTCTTTGGGTGTCCTGGGCTCTTTAGCAGAAAAAGAAGTAAAGTCCTTTCTAATTTCTAAAACGGGAAAGTGCCCTAGAGGCACCGTGTACGTATCCTCCGGGGAGAGCACGTCTTTTTCACGAGAGACCGATTAATTCACTTACCCCGGGACTGGCCGGGGGATGCGCCGGGCCGACGGGCCGGTGCAGCGCGGAGTACCGAGCTAAGCAGAGGTCCACCTCGAAAAGGCAGATAAAATCAAGCAGAAAAAAGTTTTGCAGGGGAGAAGGCTGCTGTGGCCGTGCGGCGGTGCGAGGCTCCCTGAGGAGGGATGCTGCTGGCCCTCAGACTGGGGTCTATCTGCTCCATTCCTTGCGATCTCCACGAGCAGTTAGTTACATGTGAAGTGTAGATTCCGGCGACCCACCCTGTGTTTGTTTCTCTTGGCTTCTCCGCAGTAGACCCTGGGGACCCCGGCGACCTCCCACAGGCAGAGCCCAGCCTGGCCCATGCCGGTGGACAGTGGGGTCCGAGTGTGCCCACCGCCCGTCCTTCAGGTCTCCTCGGAGGTATATGGCAAGCAAACTGCTTGGCCGCTTGCTCCTTTCGCGCTTTTTGCCGGTTGCCTGCATCTCGTGCGGACCAGACCTTCCCTTGGGAATTGGTAGGGAAGCTGACAGGAGCAAATTGCAGTAGGTGGTATAGATTTCTTTTTTTTTTTTTTTTTTCTGTAAAAAAAGGGGGGACGAGGGGGAGGTCTGGGGTGCTGGTGAAGGACCCTTTTGCCTGCTCTCCTGGAGTTGGCGGGGAAGCTACCTAGCCTCGGTCCCGGTCCCCAGGGTCCCTGTTTCCCCCTCTGCTGTCCCGGAGCAGGTGCCGCCAGAAAAGCGCCGGCCCCACAGCCCTTTGATGAGCTCGCAGCGCCGTCGGTCCGCAGCGCCCCTTTCTCATGCTAATGGCCCGCCGTGCTCTCTACGGCTTTCAAGACTAACAGAGAGGCTGACAGTGTCGTCCTCGCAAGGACAGAGCCCGGACGAGCAATTCCTCCAAAACAGTCTGGGCCCTAATAAACAATCTGGTGGGACATGCAGTATAGCATGGCCTCCTTCTCCTCCCAAAGTGTGGATTCATTAACCCGTCTCCTTGCTCATCATATCCCCGTAGGGCTAAGAGACGAATTACTGGATCTGAATTGGAAGGGAATTGCTCTATGAGGGGGCTAATGTTTCAATCAGTTCATCCTGAAGGACCACACAAAAAGAAACTTTTTAGTTTATGGTGCTATTATGCAGAGTTTTAATCTAGGGATAGATTTAACCAAATGTTATCTATTGGGAATTTAATGAAGCCCTTATGTATTCAATCGTCTTTTATGCCACACACAGTGTCTCTATCCAGAAACGTTTCCTTCCGCATAGTTCTTTGTTTCTGATGGGTGATTTATATATTTTTAATTAGGTTTTTAAAAATTATTTCTTTTCAAGCATCTTGTATAACGTTTCTTTTAAGCAGGACTGTGTTAGGTCCCTTCCCACATCCCCTATAAAAGAGGTTTCCTCTTCCCTCCCTGGTTTTGAAGATGATTAGTTTGCACGTCCACACACTTCTCCCCACTGGAGCGCTCTCTCTGCCTTGTGCAGAGGCCTTGGTCATCGTGCCTGCTCTTTCGACACCTCCGTGGGCTGCGATGGACAGGGTAGCCCGGGGGTCCGGCCGAGCCCCGTGACTCCCGTGCACAGCTCCCCGGCCTCCAAGCTGCTCTCAACACAAACCTTCCCCACCCGCACCTCATTCGGACCACACCTTCGGTCTGGTTTGTATTTTAGGTGCCGTGAGAAGCACTCCTGGGGTCACCGGGGAGCACATCCCCTGCTTGCAGGCAGGTTTCAAATACCCAGGACCGGCCCCATCACCAAGTCTGGAAAATGAAAGAGGGGGGCGAGGCCCTCACCTGCTCTCAGCTGCTCCCTTTCTTGCAGCGCTGGTGGCGCGGGCAGAGCACACGATCACCCCCGTCGAGATTGAGGCCTGTTTGGGGGATCTGTGGGAAAGTGGATCTGGTTTGACTGTCCCTTGGCACAGCCTGGAGACTCTACTCCGTATGTAATACTTTCCCTCAGTACTTACAGTAAGTACTGCAGTAGTTCTGATAATATTGTATTTGACAGAAATAATGGAAATTATGATCGTGGCCAAACCGTCTCTGCTCTGCAACTTGATAACCAATGCAGATCCATTTTTCAGCTTGTTCACTGTGTCTCCCCCACCTGCAGTGGTATTTCCCCTGCTTCCCTCGGCGATGGGCTGCACGCACCATCAGAACCCAGGCAGCGGCGGGGACCGGCTGCCCCGTGCCCACAGCTGGGTGCATCCCGATCAGGTAGGTGTCTGCCATTCCTCACCCTCAGCCTCCAGTAACCTGCTGCAGGTGACTGCAGGGCCTCTCCACCCTTCTCCAAAAGTCCTTTCTCCTCTGCAACCCTCACCATGAGAGTCACGTCGAGCAGCGGCCGTTGAGGTCTCTGTTCGCTGCCCCTTCCTGCGCTGCAAAGCACGACCCAGATGTAGAGGAGACATTCACGCACAAGTGTGTGTACGTGTATGCAGGAGAATGGCACTTCAGAAGGTAACCAGCTGCTGCCGGATCCACGCTGCGGCAACAACTGTGCTCAGTGCCTCATTGCACAGATGGTGCCCGCCGATTTTGGGGAAAGACGGAAAAATTAACACGAGTTCCAAGTCGGTAAGCATCTTGCTCTTGTTTTTAACTTGCGGAAGAACTCTGTTCCCCGCCGCCAGTCTCCGCCTGGAGGTGTACTGCGGGAGCCGGCCCTGGAAACACGCCGGCCCCTTCCCAGCTGCCTGTCTCGGCTCACCGCGCAGTTACCAGCACGACTGAAAACAGCAAAGGCAAAGGCTGCGGGATTGGGAAGGCGCGCACGGGGAGCCCCTCGGCCAAGCTCACGACCAGCCCGGCTGACGCAGTGCGGGTGGCACCGAGGCCTGTGCGCGGCCGCGCAGCGGGGCAGAGCCTCCGCGGCTTCGGAGGTGCTCCGCCGAGCCCGATCGTAGGAGCGGGAAGGCACCCGGCAGCGTGTCTGCGGGAATCACCGCGGGAAGCCCACGGAAGATGCATAGCATACGAAGATGTGCCCTTAGTGCAGCTCCCCTGCTCCGCCAACTATCTCAGTGAGAGACACAGAGGCACAGAGAGACCTATCGGCTAGGCACCGTAATGCCCAAAATGAACAAAAACATATGGACTGCACTGGACGAATGGCGCTTTTTTTTTTTTTTTTTTTTAAAGAGCGATGTCTCATCAATTACAGAAATTCTACCGCTCAGCTGAATTCAGAAGGAAATTTGTGGTTGCGGGTTTTTTATTTTTCTAATCAAAATAATTAAACTTGCCCTTCCTCCAAGCCACAGGAGACCTGTTGAATTGATTCTGTTTCCCTTTCGCTGATGCAGTAAAACGGCATGCAGAAATCCGCGGGCCCCCATATTTAGATGATAGATTATGCAATTTATGTTAGAAGCAAAAGGATAATTAGATAATGCAGTTGTTGTATTAATTAATTTCTTGAGACTGGGAAAGTCTTAAGACTTATCTACGGTCAATCCAAAGATATTTCTGTCCCCTGCGTGGAACAGGAAAACATGTGAGTGCGTCGAAACGCTTGTGAACATTGAAGAGTATGTTCGCACCCGGTGATATCACCGTCCAGTGCCCGCACAACTGTAGCACAGCTGCGATCATCGCTCCTGCTAATGCCCAGGCTTTGTCAAGTCCTCTTAAAACTCGTGAATGTCTCTTCGTACCGCTGTGGTCGTAGGACTGCTTCTCTAGTTTCATTGCAGGAGATACATGCGCACCTGTATACACGAGATACATTAAATACACACAATCAAGATTAATGAGGTGACTTCCCTGGGTTTTCTTTTCGTAAAATAAACACTGTCACGTCTGCTTATTCAGCAACAACCAGACGAAACAGATAGCGTTCTAATATACGAGTATACAGCAAAATTCCACCTGTCTGCTGCACAAGCCGGGTGGGGTGGGGGAGGATAGAGGAGAACAGAATAAAAAGACGATTAAAAGAACCATTGGTGAGGAAAAAAAAGGAAAAAAGATGTCCAGTGCCGAGTGAGGAGGGACATCTTTATCAGGTGATTTTGCTAGAAAGTGGATGGGATCAGAAATTACGGACCATGGAAAGAATAATTTATACTTTCTTTCCATCCTGGTCGTGCAAAAGCGTCTGAGGCCGCTCGGTGGGCTCTCCCTCCTTCATGGAAGTCCTTAACCTGTCTTTCTCTGTGCAGACGGCGCTGCCTATGGGGCAGCCCACGCAAGTGTGTATCCTCTCACTGCCCCCTCAAGCGCTAGGCAGCCGGAGGCCCCGCTAGCACCACACAGCAGACCTCTTCCCTTCTACTTCTCGCTTCTGTATGACAAGCCAAAGGGTGGCCCTTCTCTGAAAATTAACCGCTTTAGATCGCTTTCGGCACTACTTCCTTCCCGATGTCTCTCCTCCTGGTGCTCAAACATCTGCTGCCCGGGACATGATTTTCAGTGGAATCCCCAGTCCTGCCCGTCCGCCTCTAAAGCAGATCTCCCGTCCCAGGCGGGACTACTGACAAGAGGTGTGGAGTGGATGTTTTTGCTTTTCGAAAAACTCTCTTCCCCCCCCAGCCTCCTCCCCACCCAGAAGGAGTCCGTCACAACACGCTAATACACACGGGCAAGCCAAACCTAGGGCTTCTACCAGAGATTTTGAACCCGGTCCCGGAGATGCTGCTGCGGCTGCGGCTGCAAGACGGCGCGGTTCGCCCGGGTGAGCA